TAGTACATAAATATTTATATAATTTGATATATGTTTAAAGGACGCAGTATTTCCGGAACATTTTCAAAAATTAAGTTGAAAAAGTTATTTTTTGTAAAAAAATTGCTATTTTAAATCCACCCCAATGAGCAGGTTAAGTAATAGATTTTTAAAAAAATGATATCAAATAAAAGGAAAATATCTAAGGTTTTAATATAAAAAAAAATTATGTTGATTTGTTGATTTTTGAAAAAGTTATGGAAGTTTTAAGAAAAAAAAGTGAAAGAAATGACAATATTTACCGATTTTTAAATTTTTAATTTTTTTGGATATTTCCCCCATTTGCGGGGGACGAGGGAATTTTTTTCAATTTTTAAGGGTAATGTCTTCAACTAGATACGATTTGTGATCTTTTGACGTATTTTTGAAAGAAATCGGTCCAGTGAGAGCTGAGAAAAAGTGGCAACAGACATAAAAAAAAAAAAACACATCATAGTAAAATTAATACCTTCTCCGCTTCGCATCGAAGCTAAAATTGAAAAAATAAAATAGAGAATTTTCACATTATAATAGCATTTATATAATCANGATTTTACAAGTTTTTGAAATTACTTTTCAAGCTTAGTCCATTCTTGATTTAATATGTATCTTTTCATATTTCATATGTTTTCTATACAGCTGGATGTATTGTAGAAATATATTAAAAATAAACCATGTATGTACATCCAATAATGTTATTAATATTAATATATTATAACATTAATAATGTTAATGTTATCCTGATATAAACTAAAAAAAGACAAGGTTTTGGAAGTTGAGCTCCCAATGAAGCTATATTAATTTGCAAGATTTTAATCCCCCTCAATGACAAAATTATTTAACCAAATTAAACTGTTTTTTTTTTAGATTCTTTAAATGAAACTCAGCAATGTGTTGGTAATGATCTAATTGTATCTTCAAAACGTTCTATAAAACACCCTACTTCAGGTTCAGCCGAATACGATACTAGTCCAAAACCAAAATTAAATCTAAGTTCTCGAATGTTAAGTAATGAATTAAACGTGTATGTATTGATTAAATATACTAAATATAAGGACCGGATTAGAAAGAGCCAAGAGGTGCCATAAAAATAATTCGATTATTTTTTCATTTATTAACTGATATCTTAAAATTTTTTGTCGTATATCTATTAAAGCCTCCTCTCCTTCAATCTGGCCCTAATACCAATTAAAATGAATTCTTTTTAAAAATTGTCTTGAACAGCACCAATGACTTAGTGAAAAGTATTTCGGACAACGTAACGCTCAATATAGATATACTGAAAGAAAATAAAAATAATTACTCGGATAGCATATTACATGAACTTAAACTATTGCGATATAAATCTCAAGTAATTTGTATTAAAAGTAATAACGAAGAAAAACAACAAACAACATCGGACGACTTTCATCGTCTTAAATTTGAAGTAGTAGTTTTCAAAAACCAAAAAGACGATGAAGCATTCCTAGAAACAATCAAACAAGATATCAAAGATTTTGTGGACGACAAAATAAAACAATACTTAGCCGTCAAAAATGTAGCGGTAAATAGTGTTACTAATAATGCATAGATATATTTTTCTTAGTAGATCATAGTTAATAATCTGCAAGCACAAAATTTGATTTATAAAATGTATAGCTCAAAAACAAATAATTATTTTTTTATTAAAACGATTGTGTTAATCGTTTTAATGGCGTGGAAATTTAAACAAATTAGAGACAAAATCATTGCAAATAAATAATAATAATTATGTTTAGTAGATAATTATTATTAATTAATAAAATATTACACATGGGATTATTAATATATGTATATATGTATTGTAGGTATAGTACCTATAGAGATCGGCTGTGAGAGATCTGGTAAGGAGCGTTCGCTCCTTGAACGATTTCGAGCAGACCCGCACCCCGGAGAAGGATGTGCCGACCGTTGAAACGTCGGCGACCCGGGCACCGGAGCCGTTGTGTTGACGATACTCGGCGAGAGCGCGCCACAGGGCGGCCAGCCATCCACCGCCAAGGTGCATAAGCGAGTGCGGAAAAGGCGACGCAAAAAGTTAAAGCATAGCGATGATGGGGGAGGGGAACCCGCCCCAGAATCGGTGACGGTGGTAGCGCCTGTGGTACCGCCGCCGGCTACTTGGTCCAATCCGCCACAAGGCTCCAAATGCTGCGACGAAATCTCGCCCTAACCCCAGGTTTCCCGCCACGGTGCGGAGACCCGTGATAAAGGCGAAGGCCCCACGAACCGAGGCTGTTATTATTGGTCCCCTTAAAGAGGTCCAAAAATATTCGGTAGTTATCAAAACGGTGATGGAGAAAATTGACCTCCAGGCGCTGGGCATTGTGGTCTCCGGTACCCGCAGAACCAAGACGAGAACAGTGCTCCTGGAGGATCAAGCTGACTTTCTGGCCGCCAAGGTCAAACAGGCGTTGGACGGCTAACGGAGGAGGCCATGTCGTGTTGTGACTCAGCTCTTGATTAATTTTGGACTGAGTCACAACACGGCGGTGTGAGTTTTAATGCGACGTTGGACGTCCTGAAAAATACCTCACGGTAGTTCCAGGGCGTCCAACATTATGACGATCGTGTAAAAAAAAAAGGTATGATGCCTATAGGGGCAAAAGTTGAAGGGTGGCATTTTTTTATTGATTATAGTACTTACGTATTGTCGATACTTTTTAATAACAATGCAAAAAAAAATAAAATCGGGGGCCTTCTACATCACTCCACGAAGAGTGAAATTTTTTTAGTTGCCTACACACAATAAATATGCCCCTGATACTATAAAGTGTGATGGGTTTACGATAAACCGATCGCCTCTATATGTTATATTGTCGTATGGTGTGACTTATTGTGCATACATTACATAGATTTTGTTCCAGGTAAAATTATTGTATAATGAAATTAGTAATATTACAAATTAAATTGATTAACATGACTACATTGGTTTATTGGTAACTATTAGAAAATAATTTAGAAGCTTCATAATGTGTTAAATTAGAGTATTTATTAAATATTTTTTAGTCATAAGTGAAAAATCTTATGGAGATTTTAGAACAATTTTTTCAAGACACTTAAATATAGGCCCAAATATAACCGTTGAATATATTTATATATTATTTAATATTCTATAGGAAATTATTAAATGTGAACAATGTGATGAGACACCTTCTATATTTCAAGACGAAAATTCAACAAAAGAAAACCTCAAACCAACGGAAAAGATTTCGTCGAGATTAAGGAAAATATTTGGTTTTTTGAGGTGTAAGCGTAAATGTAAATATATCATTTAAATACTTGCAACACATTCTATAATATTATTCTGTATATTATTCGTGATTCTATTTTTTTTTAGCATCAACTAAAAAAAAAGAAACGACCGAGGCCTCTATTTAATTGAAATAGTATTTAAATAAATATTATAAGATGTAAATTGAAAAGATTACTGTTTATGTTTTCAATTAATGATTTTGTGTTGTGTACTATTTTTTAGCTTCGATGCGAAGCGGAGAAGGTATTAATTTTACTATGATGTGTTTTTTTTTTTT